CTCAAGAAAATTATGGAAAAAAATATTCAAATGACAGAACTAAACAAAAAAGGTAATACAGATGAATGTCCATTTTGTATCTCTGTATTCAAAATGGTTAGGATAGATATATAATTACATTCTCTTAATGAATAGAGGGATTTGTTGTAAAAGTGTTTGTAAATAGGATATAATGTCTGCATCTTGTACAGCAAATAACCACTAGGAAGACAGTATAGAATGTGTTAATTATTGAAACTGTCCTACCAATCTGATTTGAAACTGTCTCATTACTATTTGTCTCTCAATAAAATTATAGAAAAAAAAATAAAGGCAGCTGAGATAAATAAATAAATAAAACTTTATTCTTGGTAGAAACTGTTTGCTAATTTTAAAAAACATCTGCTTGCTAGGAAGATGGAAGAAAGCTACCTCTCTCCTCTGATAATGTAGGAATCAATATACCTCAGTCACTCATGTGGACGTAGAAGGCAGGTTAAGAGGCCCTGGGAGGTAGTAAGAAGCATGCTGGGGCTCTTACCCCTGTTGATTTTTGTTCTACTCCTAACTGCTCATCGAGGTCATAGCAATGTAAGACTACAAGGCTGAGTTCAAGGCTGGCAAATGTAAGCATGCAGATGCACGTGCACATATAAAGAACTGGATGAAAAGATGAGCACTTGAGGTTTCTCCATGAGGAAAACACACAGGCTTATTTCCAAGGCTTTCAGTACTACTTACTAACTCCCATGCTGCACTTACATTTGTAGAAATCAACATCAACACGACTTCTTACAGAAAAAAATAGGAATGGTCTCCTTGCCAACAGAAATGTCACACTAAAGTTAGATAATTTACATATCTTATTTGAAGATCGTAATTGTTAAAATTATGATTCATAACTAGATGTTCCCCAAAAGCCTTGTACTCTCATGGGGGAGGGTGATTACATAATGGGGATGTGACACTCTTTAGTGGATGAGTCCACTAGTGAATTTATAGCTATTTATAACGTATAATTTATAATGTAGCACTGTGAGCAGACAAGCTCCTGGGAGCGTGGTGGGGATGGGTGCATCCACCTCCCTCAGTCCTCTCTGCTTCTGATTGCCACGCCATGCTGAGCCTCCTCTGTCCCATTCCTCCCAGGCTGCCCTGTCTCAGAATCAGCAACTACGCACTGAAGCCTCTACAGGCTGCAAGCCAAAATAAGCCTTTCCTCCTTAGAGCTGTAAGTGTTGGGAACTGTGTCCCAGTGAGAAGAAAGCAACTAAGACAGATTTTAGTACCAGAGAGGTGGGGTCATTGCTAAGTGCTACCTGATCATGTGGGTCACAGCCTTTGGAACTGCCCTGTGGGGACACCCTGGGAAGGTCTGGGGTGATGGCTGGAGAAGCAGCAGCCCCAGAGTACTGAGAGTGGAGCCTAATGGGAGATTCTGTTTGGAGCTCAGAAGACCAGAAAGAATGTTGACAAATATACAGGAAGAAAAGACCAGGTTCAAGAGGTTTAGTTGACAAGTATTACCAAGGGAAGGGCAGATATGGTCAGGCTCTTGCGTATGGTACAGAATGAATTACGAGCATATGGCACGAAGCAAGTGGCAAACAGCTACATTTATTAAAGAGCACAGTAAGCTGTGCTCAGAGCAAGTCCATGCTAGCAGATAGAAAAAGAGTGCCAGAGTGACAGAGAAGCACTGCATGCACATGGAAATAGCAACAGCTGCTTGGAACTTAAACGATATGCACTTGAGCCCAGAATCCTCCTCCTGAATCTCTAGGTATGTCTGACAGGAATGACTGATAAGGAGCTATGTTATTTCAGGGGCTTTCCATACACATGGTCTTCTAAGAATTCATTGTGATACGAATTACAAACATGACACATAGTTCATATTTGTGAACCCTGAATGAGGTGTGACTAGGGTGAAGGTGAATGAGGGTCAGACAACGAGGTCAAACATCCACATGCTCTCATCCAGAGCACTAGAAATCTCCTAGGTTTTTATTTTATTCTCTACCTCTCTTAGGACAATAAAAGCAGGCACAGGCCAGTGGCTGCTGTTTAGATTTAAATGCATGGGAGTGACTTCCTCAGCACCACTGGCAGTTGGACTCCAGGTGGATTGTGCTCTAGCAGAAGATTGGTCTGTATTTTTCTCATGTCCTGAGACTTTGCAGGAGACTGAGATTAAGGGGGATGGCAGACTAATTAACCGGGCAGAGGAAATTTCAAGGCAGCCAAACATATAGGCTGTGGTATGGGCACTGTTGGGACCTTCTAACCAGTTCCACAAAGCAAATAAAGAGCAAAACACCCAGCTGATTGATTTAAACATTTCTGAGCTTGTCCAAAATGAATACTCTGGTAAAGTTGGGGGCTTGCACAGATGTGGCAGAGAAGAGCTCAGTTGCTAAAACCCTGCTGGCACGAAAGAGAGGGTGAGTCCTTTAAAAGCCTGAGGGACTATAAAAACATCACAGGCAGTGTGTTTTGCTGAACAACCTGCTGAAGAACAAAGGAGTTAAAAGGCAATCTCATGTTCTCCTGTGAAGGATCATTAGAATGGGAATAAAATAAACATGACTTACCAGATTTAAAATCTGTTCTCCTCTGATGTTAAAAGTAAAACAGCAATCCAACATGTATTTGTTAAACAACAAATACCCGGTAGGTTATTGCACACATAGTTAACAGTAGGAAAAAAGTGATGACACTCAAATAGCTATGACAAGTCTAAAATATAGCAAAAAACAGGTATGCACCTTAACACTGCTTACGATGGAAAAATTTGTAAAGTACTATAAAGAGAAGGAAATTAAATCCATCTATGTGAAAGCATATGGTATCCAAATGACACGTACTTTAAAATGAAAGACTTCTATGAAGGGATAGATTACCAAATTAATAAGGTCTTCTCCCATAAAACGCTATCCTACAGGGCAACACCACACGTACACATGCATACCTTCACACAAAACAGGAGCAAAAGAAAACTATTTGAGGGAAAGGTGACTAAGCAAGAGTTGTTGAGGGAAATTTCTGCAGAAGTGTCATATACCACTCATCTGCAGCTCTATTTCCCAAACTGGACCCTGACCCAGATATCAGCTCCTCATCATTAGCTATGTCTGGGCCCTTCCTTCTAGATGCTTCATCCTTGATACACCATGCAAGAATTAAGATCACTCTTCCAACAAGGTGGCCTGGCAAACCACCTGTTCCTGAGTACTTCCCCTCATTTTCTATTCCTTTTCTTTATCTCTTTTCTCTAGAAAGATTTTTAACTCCTTCCTCTTCTTTACATCAGTCACCCAAATTTGGTCATCATCTATTCAACCTTGTAACTATTCCTTTATTCTTCTGATGACTATTTATCCTGCTAGATCTCTTCACCTCCACCCTGAATTACTAAAATGATCATCAACATCCTTGACTCTAATCTCTCTCTCTCTCTCTCTCTCTCTCTCTCTCTCTCTCTCTCTCTCTCT